ATCAATTGAGCATGAAAAGAATAGGTGCTGGGTAGATTCAACCGTGAGTGCACAGAATGGGCACTTTCGGTCGATCTGGAGATACCATAATCTGTCCTTTGTCTGTAGTTTACCCCGAACAGCTAACCATAGGATGAAGGCATGTTTAGGTATGATGGAACCGTCCCAAACAGAGGTAGCCCATGCAGTTTTAACTCCCTTTGGTCTGAAGAACTCATAGGTAGTTTTTGTGCTAAAAATCCCAGATTCTGTCCAGCTGAATAATCTGTCCATTCCAGTTTGAAGTTCATTTTGGGGTTCAACAATACTGTCTCTTATTTCCAGAAGCCTTTTAAGTAGTGAAGAATCACCTTTTCTCACTTTATACTTCCAAATGTCCGAGCCTCGAAGATGTACTTCATTTATCCATTTAATCCATAAAGAATCCTTTTTGCTATGAATGTTCCAAAGAGTTTTAGAAAGGAGTGCGGCATTCCAACTTTTGATATCGCTAAAACCAAGCCCACCCTCATGCTTAGGTAGGCAAATTTGATTCCAAGCAACCAACGGTTTTTTGGATCCCCATAGGAACCTTCGGCAAAGACTAATAATCTTTGAACTAACAATCACATTCCTTGTCATTATGTCGGATTGCTTTCCTTTATGTAAAAGCCTCAGAAGAAATCTCTTTGGTTACAAATTTTGTAAGAGTCTTTCTTTGTGGATTTCTCGATTGGATGTCTAAGATATCGTTTGTCTTTTCAATTCCATCATCCTGTGGGTTTCTTGTCCGAGCATTTGTAGAAGAGATTCAAGATAGGCTTGCTTGAGATTGTGATCATCTATTCCTCCAAGGATATAGTATCTCTTCTTGACCTCTTTAAAGTGTTTGTCCAATTCTTTAAGCTCTTAAGAGCAAACTTTAATTAAAGAATTCTTCACGTGCCTTCTCTTTTGTATGATCTAGTTTTTTGCAGAATTTCCTATGCAAATCATTAAAGAAGGAAACAATTGATTGAACATTCGTCCATTGTCTTTACCTATGACCTTCAAAACCTATAAACCAATCTTTCAGATACCATGTTGGATAGAATAAAGTTTGGGATTCCATGTCTGTCAATTAGGTTTTTAGTTGTTTGATTTCATTTTCTTGTGTGTCAAAAGGAAATCTTTGGCCTAAGAAGGACATGATTTCATTGTGGACTATTTCGATTCTTTTTCGACAAGCTTTAATTGGAGCGAGTAGGGTAGAAGTTTGTTGTTTAAAGTCTTTTCAATCATTTGTTGACTTTCGTCAATTTTCTAAAAAAAGGAATTTTATCTTATCATATTTTTAGACTACTAGAAATTATGATCCTTTTCATTTGTTTTACAATAAATAGGCCGTCCATTGGAACTAAAGGCATGTATAGGAATATCATCTGAGAAGTTGAATTGGGGTGGAAACCAAGGTTGCTGTTTTGGGGATTGATCCTTTTTGAAATAGATTTCAACAAATCCATCATATTTCTTTCTGAAATAATGTTGGTTGATTGTATGGGAGTAGATTCCTAGGCACATTTATGAGCTTGTTGTCTTGGAACATAAGTACAATTAGGAACATGTTCAATATCCATTTGAAGTAGACCATTTTGTAATGAAGAACTGGAGATGGAACGCTCCAACTATTTGGATTTAGAGGGTGTTTGGTAGGGATTTTAAGTCAATTAAAATCAATTTTTTTACCGTTATTTCACTATTGCAGCTGTCCTTTTTGAATTCCTCTTTCACACAGGACCTAATTTTATCTGTAACGATCAAAAAATTAATTATCAAAATCCCCACCAAACACCCTTTTAAACTTTCAAAGCAGAAAGGAGTTCGGGATTTGATATAGGCACGTTAAAATTTGAAAACATGATCACAAGTATAGTTCCAACATGCAAGATAAACTAGTAGCATGTTTGGGAGTGATTTTGAGAATTGATTTTTTAACCGTTAGTAGAAAAGTGGGGTCCACCCGTGAGAGAAAAAGTCAAATATGACAGTTGAAATAGTGAAATAATGGTCAAAAAATAAATATTTTGGATCAAAAAATCACTCCCACACAGGCTATAGAGTTTCTATCGCCTTTGAATTTTGATTGGTGCCAATTAATTTCTAAACCAATACCTTCCCCTAATTCTCTCTCCATAATTGTCTATCATCATGTCTAAGTGATCGAGGATCTGCTAATTTATTGTTCAATATAATTAGATACATTTAATACATTGAGCAACGAATTACAAGTTCACTTAATTAACATTATTCTTTATATGTTTTATTGCGATACTCTATTTTATTTTATTTTATTTTTTGCAATTTGTGACATTCTTGCTTTGCTAATTGCTATGTCATCAATTATCAATATCAAATTTTAATCCAACTATAGTCATTATTTATTGCATCAGTTATCTTGCTGTATAAAATCAAACTAGCCTTAGTCCATTCCTAAACCATTTAGGTTGAAAGGTTGTGATATTCGCATTTTACGGAATTTTGCCTTTTGAATTGGGATAATTGTGGTCACGGCCTCAACCATTCAAAATATTACAGGTTTTAACCTACTCTTTTGTTTATTGTACCCGTAGTCCCAAACCTTTCATGTATGTGGGGCTGGAGGACAAATGAAAGGAAATCATCCATTTTTCCGTTAGTTGACCAAAATGTTAACTTTGACATCATTTTAATCAATTTAAAAAAGGTAAAACAATAATTTTAAATTCCTCGATAAAATAATTAAAATAACTAAATAAAAAATCTGAAAAGGAAAATAAAATTCACCTCCAAATCAAATTTAATTCATAAAACCATTGGACCACCGCTTACACCATCGACCACCTCCAACACACTGCCTAAACCATCGACCAATGAAATTGTGTGAATGTATTTACATAAGGAACTAGAATTCTTCGCTTCTCGTTCTTTCTAATCTGCAGAATATACAATTGTGAGCAAGTGTTTTCGTAAATCTAATACGACCTGACATAGGAAAAATTGTCCAAAACAATTTGATTTGAATCGAGAATGTTATTGGTTTCAATTGATTTGTAACCTAATAATAAGAACAGAAGGGGAGAATACCATTTTGGATTTCAGTCACAAATCTTTGGGTTCGGGTTTGGGTTCACCTTGTGTTATTTCGATTTATTGTTGAATGTGGGTCACCATTTTGTGATGACCATTATGGCATACGAGATGTTCAATTACATTATTGATTCACACAATCTCTTTAATAAGCTCAACCAATGAAGCCGCCGCAACCTCTTGAATAGGCTCAAAAAAAATTTCATGACGTGTGAATTAATGATTGGGTGTTAAGTTTTTTTTCAAACTTTTCAACCTCGAGTTGACATGTGTCTCCCTTGGTTTTGAATCTATCTCCAAAACTGTTTATATATCAAAATTCTATTTACAACCAGCAAATGGAGGTCTAATCCATTTAGGGCCTGTTTGATACAAAGAATTTTCCATGGAAATTTTTTTTCATTTTTCACTTTTTTCCTCGTTTGATTTCAAGAATTTTCCCTGGAATTGATTTTTGATTCTAGTATTGAGCGACAGGTTACAGTCAATCCTACTCTACTAGTAACAATAGGTAGCATAGGGGAAGAAGCACTACACCTAGGAATCAACAACACGAAAACTTTGTTAGAAATTATCCCTTTCCTTATCGGGCTCGGGACTAGAAGACACATTACCCCTTTCTCCTTGATTTGGTGGAAATTGATTTCCTGTGGTTTGGGTGGGAAATCAATTTTCAGGTTTTCTATTTTTCATTTTTTTTTCCTTTTTTTTTTTTTTGAGACAATGGAAAGAAATTCTATTCACAATTGTAACAAATTCTTTCCATTTAATTGACAATTTTCATGGAAAATAAAGTCAAACGAACATCAAAAAATTTAAAATTTCAGCATTTTTCAGATGAAAAATTATACCAATCAAACACATTTAATTGACAATTCTCAGTAAAACAATATCTAGGTAATTCAACTCCCTGAAATTTAATTTCATTCTACCCAAATTTTATTTTTGCTATCAAACTGATCCTTAGTCATTTATGTATGCTAATTGATAAACAAACCCATTGGCTTTAATAAAAAACACTCCCAAATCATACCCATTCAACTTGATCTCGTGCCTCCCGTTAGTACCCCGGAGTCAAACTTCATTAGATACGCTTCATTTTCAATGGATAATTGAAAATTGTAAAGCCCAACTTCTTAATTTTCTTTGATCCATAATGAGGGGCTTTGAGTTGTTGGTACGGTGCAAGTGGTGGTTTCGTCGTTTTTTGAATTTAATTTGGTTTGCGTTGGAAGAGGTCAAAAAAAAGAAAAGAAAAAAAAAAAAAAAAGGATTTTTAATGATGAAATATACAGATGCCATTTATAATAAAAGATTAAAATTTGAGAATTCAAGTACGAAATATTAAAGTTGAGGACGAACTTACTACACGTTTTATAGTTTGGGACCTCTACTGTTATCTCTCTCTCTCTCTTTTAAATTTCATTTTGATTAGAAATAGGGTGCACGCAAAGACCTAAAGAAGTGGGTTTAATAATAAACTTAATGACTTTTTTTGCCTAATGAACAAGTCAGTTCGTGTCCATGCATGGGGAAGCTCCTCTGTCACCTCATAATCCTATTGCATTTTTTTAATTTGCTTTTCTTTTTAGTGCCCACTAAACTAGTTTAGATCAACATTTGTTGACAATAAAGATTAAATAAAATAAAGTATAATAATTGCATTGCAGCTATGATTACTATCATTTTCATGCATTCATTCCCACTTTTGACTCTTATTTGTTTGTTCTAAAATATCATTGGCTGCTATCTAATTCTATAACCCAATCCCCATAAATTAAAATTAAGAAAAGAAAGAATAATAATAATAATAATAATAATAATAATAATAATATCATTAACAAAGTTTGAGGAATTAGGTAAATTGACATCAAAGGTTGTAACAACTGTAGCTTACTACCTAAATACAGAAGACCTTGCTTGGTATCAGTATAAATCGGATTAAAATTTAAGTAATAGTCAACAATTAATTTTAACGATACATTTTATAGGACTCTCTATTTTTCAACTACACATTCCATCAACTTTTGTCAAAAACTATTAAAACTCTAATTTTAATCTCCGCGAAACGGGGCTAAGTAACGTAAAAAAGTTTGAACTCTCTCTTGGCAACTCGACTCGCTGCTCCTAGCTAAAGCTCTCGAGTTTTCATTAATAACTGCCCTGTTGATTCTAATCACAAACCTTACCAGTAATCACTGCAGGAACACTTTCCGGATTTGAAGTGATGGAATCGATTAGAATCTCTAACAACAATTTCACGTCCTGTAACCATAGATACATGTTTTCCAAAATCATGGCAATCTTTGCAAGCCCTCAGATTTTTCAAAACCACAACAGGAGTGTTACTTGGTGTTGAAATTAGCCCAAATGCAATTGCAAGCCTCTCGCTGTGGATAAAGAGCTGATCCTTTCGCTCTGATGAAATTTTTGATGCTTCCTCATCGTCTTCTTCGGTTAAAAGTTCGTGTTCTTGGACACTATCAGAGAAGTCTAGTTCCTGCAACTTTGAGTAAATCTCTTCTGTTTGAGGGTGGTGTCTATCACCCACTATAAATCGGTGTACACTGCCTTTAACGGTAATCCAGCTGCAACCCGTCTCCTTTCTTAAATTTCTTTCAGCCATCATCCTTCGAACACTGGCAGCTTCGTCCCACCTCCCAGATAAAGTGTGCATGTTGAACATGAGGATATAAGCAGCATTGTCCTTGGGGTCCAGTTGAAGGAGCTTTTCAGCAGCGATTTTCCCAACTTCGAAATTCTGGTGGATTGTGCATCCTCCCAATAGGCTTTTCCAACTCATTGCATCAGGTTCAAATGGCATTGTATTTATCAAATCAAGTGCCTTGTTCAATAAACCAGCTCGAGCATACGCATCAATCATACAATCATAATGATCGATAGTTGGTTCCACGCCATGCTTGCTATTCATTGATTCTAGATACTGCTCGGCTTCTTTGACCAAACCGGTATGGCTACATGCTGTCAAAACTGCGACAAATGTTACTGCATTCGGCCTCACCCCAGAAGCCTGCATCCTGTTAAGGAGGTTTAGGGCTTCAGAAGCGCTACCATGGTAAGCATAACCAGCAATCATAGCCGTCCATGCCACAGTATCCGGTTCATCCATCAATTCAAACACTTGATAGGCAAGATCTAATCTTCCACATTTAGCATACATAGTAATCATGGCACTCTCTCCATAAAGGTAGGAAATGAGGCCTCTTTTTATAGCATCTCCATGAGATTGAGTACCTAAACTCAAGTCCGCAAATGCTGAGCACACTTGGAAAATGCTAGTGTATATGAATTCGTTCAAAGCAACTCCTTCACTTCTTAAAGACCTAAAAACCTTAACACATTTCTCAAATTCACCAATTTGAGAATAACCACATAATAGAGCACTCCAAGAAACATCATTTGGTTCAGTCATCCGCTCAAATGCTCGACCAGCAGACTCTAAATTCCTGCATTTCACATAAAAATCTACGAGGGGAGTACCAACCGAGACCTCACTTTCAAACCCAAGCTTCAAAATTAAACCATGAACCTGACCTCCCATCTTCCAATCCTCCAATGCTGCACAAGCTTTGAGAGTAATAGAAAACACAAATGCATCCAGTTCAATGCCCTCCGCCACCATCCTACAGAAAAATCTCAAGGCATCCTCTGCCCTATCAGCTTCAGTATAACCCACCATCATCGTTGTCCAACCTATGGCATTTTTTTCACGCATCAAATTAAAAACACACTCAGCAGCTTCCAAACGCCAGCATTTCACATACATATTACATATGGTGGTGTCCATAGACACGTTTTCAGTAAATCCAGCCTTAATCACCTGACAATGCATCTGTTTCCCGAGCTCCAAATATGAAAAATTAGAAAGAGACTTCAAAAGACTGATATAAATTGAAGGGTTAGCCTTAACATCTAAATCCCGCATTTCCAAGTACAAATCCAGAGCATTCTCTAACAGTCCCTCGTCTGCATAAGCAGATATAATTATCACCCATGAATCCAAAGTTCTTTCACGTATTTCATCAAACAGTTTCCGAGCATCCGAAAGATTTCCACACTCACAATACATTAGCAGAACATGATTTTCAAGGAACGCAGGTGGGTATTTTTCTAATCTTTTTATCCGATCATGAACTAACTTTCCATAACGCAAGCTCCTTAAACTTGCACAAGTTTCAAGCAAGTGCTTGTATGATTGAGGCGTAACGGGAATATTGGAACGGTCCATTTCTTGAAGGAACTCATGGGCTTCTTTGAGTTTTCCTTGTTTGGAAAGGGAAATTAAGTGGACATTTTCAAGATTCCCTTGCTGAGTTTCGGGGTTTTTGAGTTGAAAATCATTGGATTTGCGGCTGAGAGATATCCATGAAGGAATTTGAGCGTAATTTGCTGTTTTTATATTCGATAATTTGTCGGGAAGAATCGATGCTTGTGGGAATACTGCATTGAGCGATTGGAGAATTGCCATGTTTCAGTGCATTTGGTCTTCGGAAAGGTTTGATCAAAGAACCCTAATAATAATAAATTATGGCAACGGACCAAACGAAACTCAAAAATAACCAAAAAAGGGGTAAATAAGGTACCGATAAATCGTTTAACAATTTACTAGCATTTGAATAGATTCTTCTTCTTTCTGCAGTAAAAATGATGGAAAGATTTTTCTTCACAGGCCAAAACATTCAGCTACCGACACAACCCGACAAGGTCATCTTCTTTCGGAGCCGCCTTCCTCGTAATAACATAAAAAAAAAAATTGTTCCTGTTTTCAGGCTTTACACAGTGACATCTCAATATTTAAGTAATTTTCTACTGTGGCAAAACCTCATTGCTATTCCAATTTGCATTTAACTCGGAGCTAGAGAAAAATGGAGCCATGGTAATCATCTGCAACCGGCGCAGATTAGAAACCAATCCCCTTTTTCTCTCTCTCTCAGGTACCCAAAAGCCACTTATTTTCGACGCTTTTAATTATTTATAATGGAACTTTACATTCAGATGAAGTAAGAAAAATAGTTAATCCTCATTCTGCTTAATTTGTTCTTGTAGTTTATACTTGATGCTGTTATGATCTTGTGCCAATTTTTATGTCTACGCGTTCTTGAAGGTATGTGGATGATGATGAAGGGATCAAGAATTATTTTGCTGCATTTCATATGCACAATACATTTCCTGTTTCAGTTAGTATCGATAATTTTGCAGATTTCTTCGACGAGAGGTAAGTTTTTCTCATTCCAATTCAAATTTCGTTTGACAGTATGGCGTGGCTGTAATATATGTCATTCTTCACGTTGCATGAATTGATACCAGAATTCAATTAAAGTCTCTGATAAAGTAGAAGTATTGAGTTCGAATTCTGGGACCCACAATAAAATTTCGTGATAGGTAAGATGAGCTCCAGCTCTCCCAAAGCAAATACGAAGGCCAAGTCGTTACAGAAAATGCACGTTTATTACCTTTTTCACTGTAATTGTGGCTGCCTTGCAAGCTTATGTTTTATCATCGATTTTTCGCTGTAATTGTGTTCTTCTCAATATCATGAAATTTATATTATTAGTGGTTCTATTTAAAGTTAATGATGGTCTAAGTACCATGTTTATATCGATGGATTAACATTAACTTTGCTAAATCTTAGATGTCTTATTTGTTTATTTCTTAATTTATCATGGTTTGCTTGGGGAAAGGTAAGGTTTGTCAATGCTTGTATTCTCATATATGAATACATGCTTCATATATATATATATATATATATACACGCGCGTTGTTAAAAATTAGGATTGTTTTAATTTCTTAAATGTAACATGGGGTTTTGAGTTGTGTACTATATATCATCGCCTGTAAATGTCTTACCAAAGGTAAAAGTTAAAACATCTGCCCCTCCGGGCATATTCCAATGATGCAAAGGGTAAGGGTGAGGTATACTCAACTTTGCTGACAGTCGCAGTGTGAGAGTTCGATTCTTAAAACATAGATTGAGACTCTTTGTAGACACCAGTTTACAGGAAGCTCTTGTTCCCTAATCTGTTGGGGCACATCTCGCGATTAATCTCTTTCACAATGCTCTAAGGACGGAACAGTGAGAGACCCTTACGGTTGGGGTTCAACCTTTAAAACACCTTCTTTTTTTCCCATTAAAGATGGCCTTTTGGTTGGAAAAGACTACTTGTCCCTAGAGGTCAAATGGCGCCCCTGTTCGTCAAAGGTCCCATAGGCCCTGGACAACTAGGACCCCTCCTTTTGGTTGGAGAATGTGAAAGGTCATTCTTCACTTTCACCATTTAGAAAGGTATCTTTGAAGATATTCCTTGTGAGAAAAGCTGATGCAAGTTATAATATACAATCCTGCTATATGTCAAAAATATTTTGACAGTTTTTTTTTTTTTTTTTTGACAGATTGTCACAAGATTTCATTGAATGTTGAACAAAAAACACAATTAAACCAGTCAATACAACATCGTCACATGTACGTATATAATATTTTATATACATTTCATCTGTACAATGAGTTGAATTCTATCAAGTATATCTTCTGTATTATGTAGGCAGTCGTAGATCCCTGCCTAGGCAAATGTTGTATTTGGTGGGGTGGGGGGGAACGATTGAATTAATAAGCGAAAACATGGTGGATTTTGTAGTGTGACAGGAACTTGACAATCGTCCATTAATATCAAAGAAGAACTGGGTTCTGATATTGTAGATCAAGAATGAACCTGGATTGGAAATGCACGGTCCTGATTCAAGTAAGAATCAGCCGACGTTTGAACTGCGCATGAGTCTGTCCTGTTTGAAAGAGCGTGCTAAAATTGGTCTTGGACAGGATGACTTTTCATGCTCCCATAAAGCGCAGCATCACCACTCACTTTTATTTATACATCTCACATGTTTTCATAACGACAAACTTAATTAAACATTTGCAACTCATTAAGGAACCAAAGGGGTCACCAACCCATTTCTAGCTGTAATAACTGTTCTCATTTTTCTCCGATCTGTGCTTCAAATTCGATGCTAGTAAATATAAGTAGAAGTGCTGCTTGTACAGACCATTTTAACAAATGGGGTTACAGAATGTTGATTTGGCAAAATTTCACACTATCTACGTAAAAAAATAATATTAACCCAGTTAATGGAATCTTGTCAGCTCAGCACTTATAATCCCACTTGTTAAAAAAATTTGTACAAATAGCATTTTTCAATATGAAACCCTGCTACGTGCACCAGGATAATTGTCATACTGAATTACAGAGGGACAAGTAACGTATATTCATTAGACTTTGTCAGCTCAGCACTTGCAATCCCACTTGTTAAAAAAATTTGTACAAATAGCATTTCTCAATATAAAACCCTGCTACATGCACTACGAGAATTGCCAGACTTTATTGCATTACATGGGGACAAATGACGTATATTCATTGGATCTTGGACGACAAACAATTTTATTCCAGTCGATACATGTGCATCACGTCTCCCTGGTGTTCTCCAAGGCAATATTCCCTGTACAAGGGGCATAACTCTCAACATAATACTCCCTTCGTCACATTTATACAAACTGACTTTATTTATTTTCTTGTCTCAATTATATAATATTATTTCTCCATTAAGAATGTTTTGTTTTGTTCGTTTACTAATATACCCTTATTTCTTATCCCAATTATACGACTTTCCTTAACCGTTTGCTGAGAAGATGCCAAACGGTGTGTTTTACTTTTTACCTGAAGATGAAGAAGAAATTAAGACCGAAGGCACCTTGGAATAATGGGGTTCTGCACTATTTTAACTTCAAATTTGAACTGCACTTTCACAAGCATTAGTTTATAAGCTTTCTAGAAAGAAATGCATTAGAAGAAAAAACGATTGTCTCCCCTTCTCCCACGAGGAAGATTACCACTACCAGTGAGTTATTTTTGGCACACAGAACAAGATCTACTTGACATTAACATTCGCGTTTCAAGATAAAAGACGTCTACAAAGATAATGTAAAACTAAAACCCGCACCATCATTAGGTTAAAGAACATTCTTGTGTACGATTCTAAAACTTGCTCATAACTGGAAAATCAAGAAACTAAAAATTGACAAATGAAATCCGCCAATAACACCACTCAAAGTGAAAGTACCATCAGTTTATCATATATTTTGCATGATCCAACTCCATCCAAATTGATGACACAAACATCTCCCTAGCAATGGAGTTGCCTCCAAAATACATTTGATTTCGATAACTTGGAAAGTGAGGAACCAAAATTCTTCATTCAGAAACTGTTCAGTTGAGTGAGCATAGACACGAGTTCGTCACTCGAAGGGCGATCAGCAGGCGAGTCAGATAGGCATACAACAGCAATTTTAACAGCCATTAACATCTCATCTTCTTCAATTTCTTCCCTGAGGATACTTTTATCTAGTGCTTCGGAAGCCTCCCCTGCTTGCTGCAGACGACTAAGCCATAGTCCCAAACTTCCTCCACTAGTTGCTTCCGCCAAAAAAGGATCTAATGGGTCTTTACCAGTTAATAGAACACCCAAGATTGCACCAAAGCTAAACACATCGCTCTTATCTGTATACCTAGTGTAAATTATTAGAAAGACGAGTAAATATCTACTTTCACAAATAAATCAAACCAAAGAATGCAGTGAAAATGTATACACCATACAACAAAGGATTCAAACAGGGTATAAGGTTCAATCCATAATCATTTACAACTCCTAGATTAGGATATAGGATAATGGAGAGTTAATTGTTCTAATGATCACTGAACTTAGGTCCATGTCTTTGATTGGTCACTGATAATTAAAATGTCGAGCTTTGGTCAATGAACTTAAGTCTATGTCTTCGATTGCTCAGTGAAGTTAAAATGTCGAATTTTAACCATTGAACTTTAAAAAAATATTGTACATTACTCACTGTAAACTCAACATTTTCTAAAGTTCACCATTTATGTTAATGAGTAACGTACAACATTTTCTAAAGTTCAGTGGCCAAAACTCAATATTTTAAAATTCAGTGAGCAATCGAAGACATGGATCTAAATTTAGTGAATAAAACTCGACATTTTAAAGTTCAGTGACCAATCAAAGACATGAGCTTAAGTTCAATGACCATTGGAACAATTAATTCGATAACGGAATGTAACTAGAGTTCTTTGATGAATGAGTTTAGCCCGGTGGTTTGCGGTTTGCCGGGTAGAATGCCAGAATGCTAGGTGGCAGCGCTACATTGGGTGTTGGACAAAAAGACAGATTTAAGCAGAAAAACGCAGTGCCCTGGCAAACTCCGGTGTACATGTAGCATGATTTTGAATGAATTAATTGATTTGACTAATCATTTCTTCTCCAACGTGTGATTATAAAAGCCTCATCTTCAAGAATCAAGATGAAATAAATTTTATCTATTCAATCTTATCCCTAATGCTTAAAGCACTTTTAAATTCCAATAGAATTTTAAGTGTTCTCAACCAGAAAAGAAAAGGAAGAAAAAAAAAGATTTTATATAACCATCCAGCTTTTTGAAAAAGCATGCTACCAAAAGATTCATCTGCATACATATACTTACAGGTTAAGATAATAATTGTTAAGCAAGTGCAGATAATGCAAACTAATGTAAAGCTATCAGAAAAAAGGAAAAGAAGGGGAATTAAGACTATCAATTTGACTTCAGTTTTAACTGAATCCTTTCATTAATTTATAAAGTATAGCCATTATATCTAATCAAGCTAGAATATTATGTAAAACGAATGCAGATTAACAAATTGTTCTAAATTTCACACTAATATATTAAAGTAGAACAAACCAATTGTACTAGTGATATCTAAATTTCAATACCTGTCATTCTGAATGTACTCTGGAGCACTGTAGCCTGAAGCTGCTTTACCAACATTAGGAATAATCATAGCCAAGCCAAAATCTGCTAACCTTGGTTCAAATTGTGAGTCCAACATCACATTTGAGGGCTTCAAGTTGTAATGCAATCTTCTTGGATCACAAGTGAAATGAAGATACTGCAGCCCCTTAACTATGCCAACTGCGATTCGACGACATAATTCCCAATTAAGTTGCAACTGATTTTCCCTCACTCTTCTCATTGCATCTTCCAGACTACCAGTAGGGGCATAATCATATATCAGAGAATACCTATCAGATTCGCGAATATAAGCCCTCAAACTCATCAAATTCCTATGCCTTAAGCTAGCAAGAATTTCGAGATCCTGCTGTATCCTTCTCTTGACTGACTTGCTCTGAGCTTCATCAGAAACATTCTCAAAGGGCTCGAGCTGCTTGACCGCAACAGTTAGGCCATTGTCCAGTACAGTCTTGTAATACTTCCCATTGGGACTCGATCCCAGCAACTGGGGTTCATCTGCAAGAGCTGATTTTAGAGTCTTGGGAGGAATTTTGGGAGAAAACACAACAGGGCCCTTAAGGATTGGGCTCCTGTTAATGTATCTGATAAAGAACCTTATTAGAAGAGCAACGAGTAACGCAAAAATCAATCCTGCTATGATTCCTAGCAAAATACTGAGAGAAATTCTCCGAAGGCTATTCTTGAATTCTGGTGGCTCAGATTGTGATGGAGGGTCGCTGTCGCTTGAGTTATTGTTGCTTAACTTTTCTAAGCATTGCACAGAGATAATGTTGAAGCAGAAAATAAATATTAAGTCTAGCTTTACGGCTTTACTGCTACTGGTATTGTAAAAGCGCCTCTTCTTCTCCATAGAAAGCAGAATCCTTATGTCAAATTAAAAAGCATAACCTCAAAATACTCCAAATTTTGAAGAGTCAATTTCCTGAGCTGAAAAGGGTCGGGAATATTGAACTAAATCATTTATGAAGGTCAAAGCAAAAATAAAAATAAAAAATTATTTCTTGGGTTCTTGTCTTACTGAACAGCAGCAAAAATGAAGCAGAAACTTGAGAGGAAGCCCCATCTTCCCAGGAAAATTTTTAAAAAAAAAAAAAAAAAAAAAAAAAACACGTTCTGGACTAGAGTTTCTATGTATATCAGAGAGAACCTTTAAGCTCTAAACAAGCCAAGACTCCAACTTAGTTCCTGAAATTCCACAACTTGCAAAACTTGGAGTTGAAAGATTGTGTGAGAATCAGAATCATTTAATGGCTTCAAGAGGAAGAGAAATGGAATCATTACATCACATTCTAACCTTTCCACAAGAATTTCAAGTCAAATCTTCACCACTTTATCTCCTATTTCTAATTCCCCCCTTTGAATTGAAACTATAGAAAAATACCCAAATAAAAAAGAAGGAAAACTGTAGAATCCAAAGTGAAATGAAAAATACAAACCAACCAAGGAACGACAGTAGCCCTCGTTAAATGGGTGTTTCTCCTAATGTGAATGCAATGCAAGTACTTGCACTGGTGAACACACTGCTTTAGCCTCTTTAGATGAAAAGGAAAGAAAAACAAACGAGCAAATTGTTTAGGAGCCTTTTTGGAAATGGAATTTAGACCTTTTTTACTTCCCATACTTTTTTCGTTAAAATGAAAAATATGACATTTATCCATCACATTAAATCACCAAAATTTAAATTTCTATCTTTTATATAAAATGCATAACTACTATATTTTTCATTCTCATTTTAATAAATATGAGAAATAAACGATTAATTTTAGAATAATTTGTCTTTATACTGAGGTTCATTCTCTATAGGTGTTTTACTTCCTGAGCATTGTATTATTATTCAACTGAATTGGTCAAAAGATGAGACTTAATATGAAGAAATGTATATAAAGGCACCATCTTTTCTTTACAACACACCACACCACACCACTTCAAGAAATGTTGTCAACTTTTTTTCCCCTATTTACTTTTCTCTAGAACGAAATTCTTTAATTTATATACTCATTTTTAATTACATATTTATACAATAAAAATATTTTACACATAAATTCAGAACTTTTTTATATTTTTTAGTTTCACATTTTTTAAAAAATACTAGTCAAAATATTATTTTTTTAATAATGGCCATAAAATGGGGACTCAACCACTATTTGACAACCATTATTTTACAAAAACAAAGTTTTGAATAGTAAATTTTTGAAAAATGAGCGGATAAAAAATAGGAAAAATTTTAGAAACATGTGAAATATTTTATTGTGTAAATAAATTATTGGAAATGAGTATGTAAAACAACTAATTTTAAATTAATAATTATCAAACAGGGCAAAACTTCAATCAAGTGTAGATTGTAGAGTGATATAAATTTAGAAGAGAAGTGAGAGGGTTCTCGCGCCTAAGCGAAGAAGTGGGGTCCAACGACAAATTGATATGTTAATGCTACACTGTAGGGAATCTGGACCGTCAATGTAGAATGAGTTTGATCATTGATGTGCTGTGATTTGATTTGAATCATTTGATTATAGAGAACAGAGATAGATAATGGCTTTGGCCTTGCTTTTTGTTTTGGGGACTGTAAAGCAAAATTTATTTACCAAATTTCTGGCTTTTGTGTTGGCAAATAATGAAAGGATTTTGCTGGTTTGTCCGAATTTTTTTGTCAAAATGGTTAACATCTTCTCACATGCATGTAAATCCCGCGAGAATAAAAAGATCCCCCAAATAAAAAGTGGGCCCAACCATTTTGAGAGTCGATCATTCCTATATCAACCATTTTCGATCACTGTAGCAGGATTGTGAAAGAAATGTGTGGCTCACTTTTGTTTACAGCACAGCTAATTGGGCTGAATCATTTAGGACCACATTGATTGGGCTAGATGTATGTATTACTAGGCTTTGCTTATTTCTTGAGCTCATTTTGAATCATATATTTCATTTTTATTTTTTTTTATCGAAATTTATTAAAAATCTGATTTTTAGTTAAATAAAATATACGCAACAACAAATTGTACCCTCCTGAGAACAAAAATTAAGTCAAATCTACATTAATTAATTAATTGATTATATTACAACAAAACCTTGTAACAACTCACCATACTATTTAGCAAACTAGATAAACAGACTGCTTAACCAAATTCCATATCCCAAATTTAATAAACCTTAAACTAGTACCACATGTAATTACAGTAAACTGCACCCAAACAGAGAGGCCAACGATATCATTCTCCGTTATCTTGCGTCCATTACCCGTTCGATAATAAAGCCAGGATCTCACTGTCGTCATAATTTGTTTCCATCGCAAGCTGGAACGGGGTTTTACCTTGCTCGTTTATAGCTCGTGTATCAGCTCCCCTGCCATATCCCAAATTTAATAAACCTTAAACTAGTACCACATGTAATTACAGTAAACTGCACCCAAACAGAGAGGCCAACGATATCATTCTCGTTATCTTGCGTCCATTACCCGTTCGATAATAAAGCCAGGATCTCACTGTCGTCATAATTTGTTTCCATCGCAAGCTGGAACGGGGTTTTACCTTGCTCGTTTATAGCTCGTGTATCAGCTCCCCTGAGCAAATACAGAATGACAACTAGCTTGTCAGTTAAAAACACAAAATCAACTATATAAACTAACAAATTAAAGAAAAAGTTGTTCTCATTTTTTCCCTTTTTCTACTACAGGCTCTTGGAATAAATGTGCAAATTCATGGCAATTTCAATTTTTGGCAGCCAACTAGAGTATTGGTGTTTGGTGGTGATTTCAGGTTGGGGAAAGGGAACTGGTGTTGAAGGTTTCTAACGAGTGTTTACCTTGTAAGAAGCAGCTTGGCAAATGTAGTTTTGCCTCTGACAATACAAGAATGAAGAGGTGTGTGACCCCTGGAATCTGAAGCATTTATGTCTGCACCGTATTGCAGAAGAAGCTCTATCATTCCAATATCTGCAGTTTCACATGCGAGGTGAAGCAACGAGCATCCATGAAGACCTTCCGATACACTGTCTTCACCAGTACTTGTAGAGCTAGACGACGGCTCCAGAAAACCAGAATACTGATCAAAGGAGGTTTGTTCTTGATACAGAGCTAATCTGGCAAGGGTAAGAGTAGTGTTACAAGTTCCTTGACCATATTTAGTATTTACATCTGCATCAGAGTTAACTATGAGTCTATACGCAGCCTTCTTATCATTAGCACGTACAGCATCCCACATCTGTTGTGCCACTGAACGATTTTCCTTGGATTTCCGCATGAAAATTTTTTCTGCATACTGCAGTAAAGAAAAGAAGTTATGCATGCTGTATCAGGAAAATAAATTTGAATAATCACCCACTAGAAGGTATCACAGATCACATTTGCCTGAGTTATTTATTACATGGCTCCAGAAAACCAGAATACTGATCAAAGGAGGTTTGTTCTTGATACAGAGCTAATCTGGCAAGGGTAAGAGTAGTGTTACAAGTTCCTTGACCATATTTAGTATTTACATCTGCATCGGAGTTAACTATGAGTCTATACGCAGCCTTCTTATCATTAGCACGTACAGCATCCCACATCTGTTGTGCCACTGAACGATTTTCCTTGGATTTCCGCATGAAAATTTTTTCTGCATACTGCAGTAAAGAAAAGAAGTTGTGCATGCTGTATCAGGAAAATAAATTTGAATAATCACCCACTAGAAGGTATCACAGATCACATTTGCCTGAGTTATTTATTACATGGCCTTTTTGACAGACAAGCGGTTGTCTAAATAGATTCTTCAAGTTCATTTCCCCAATTGAAAACTCATTCAAAGGGTGATTCTTTCTTCTTCTTTTTTTATTTTATAACCACTTAATTCTTCTTCAAATATGTGATACAAACAGGAAACTGATGTATGCAAAGATTAGAAATGTAAACCCATTTTAACATCAAATGACACGTGCTGACCAGGAGTGTAGTGAATATTACAATTTAAAGCACAACAGTACTTTTTCTACTCAAAAGTTCCTGGAAACACTCAACGAAAAAGAGAAAAAGGATAAGAATCCAAGAGAGCGAAGAGAGCAGTACCTTTGCATGAATAAATTTTTCCTTTGTTGAAATTGAATCAATAGCACTGGGCTTGCTGAAATAAACTATTTGCTGTTTATTAGGCCTGTACAAGCTTCAGTATGTAAATTTAAATCAGTAATCTATTGGCAAAACGAAATTCAAACTATGAAAAAAAATTGTTAAATACAAAATGAGACTTGTGTTTGATATTAAGAGCTATTTACCCTGTAGAGCCAAGATCAACCTGGAAGACACCCTTCGACTGCAACAATTCCTCCCAGACTGAATTTGAAAAGGTGTTGCCCAGAGACTGAAACAGATTTATGACAGCTGGTTCCCAAACTTTAACATCAAGAGTCAGTGACCTCACCTGCAGGGAGGAATAAGAAACTAATTAAGTCCCTCTTTGTTTCTTATTCTTTCCTCATTAAAATGAAAAATATGACCGTTATCTATCATATCAAGTCATCAAATTTGAATTTCTATTTCTTGTGTGGGGCCCATAATCACTATATTTTTTATTCTCACTTTTACAAAAATGGGAAACAAACGCCCCCTAATACTTACTTTTAATATACAGGAGCAAAATTAGAACTGTTATATGAATAGCAGATTAAAAAGAAATGTTTCAAGTAATCACAATTGGCTTCCAAATGAAATTATGAAAAATCTACATATCTCTCCCACTCTAAAACCTACTAAAATAAATTATACAAAAGTGAAAATCTGTGATAGCCAAATAGCTGGGACGTATAGAATGTTCTGATGCCAAAAAACCACATTTGCAGATTTAGTTACTTAAGGATATTTCTTTAATTCATTAATCGAATGGGGATTTCTTCATTTAAATCAAAATTCTTCAACCAATGTGGGTGCATACAGGTGCACTTTCAGGCAATTTCTTCATGTCTAGTATACACAGGACACTGGTGTCAGATGACAAGACCATATTATATATATGTACCTTAGATATATGTACACCAAGATTGCGGTGAACACCAGAGCATTCAATGCAGACAAGAACACCTAGATTCAAGGATGCCCAATCTGGTTCAGGAGCACCACAATCAGCACACTTGTTGTTACCACATACTTTCTGCAATATGTCAATTGGCTTTTCACTTTTCAGAACAGATCTTTGGTGTTGTGAGCTTCTCAAAGAACGATCTATATGCGCAGAAGCAAGCCTCTCAGGTGGGTACTCTTCAACTGCTCCATGATCAAAATCAGAGCTTTCCAATGAACTACTTTCACTGGTTGATCTATGATGACCGCTACCCATTGGACTACCAGACAAACACTGAAAAACAACAAAATTCCAATCAATAGAGCATTTGGAAATCAACTTTTAAGTAAAAGATTATTCTCAGAGAAATTACCCTTTCAGGAGTCTGAGAACTTAGTAATGACGCAATTACCCCAGTAATCTTCTCGATCCAATCCATTTGATCCAAGGCACTCTCCGCCTGCACTGACAGGCAAAAGGTAATCAAACCCAAGCTTCAAAATTAAACCATGAACCTGATCTCCCATCTTCCAATCCTCCAATGCTGCACAAACTTTGAGAGTAATCGAAAACACAAATGCATCCAGTTCAATGCCCTCCGCCACCATCCTACAGAAAAATCTCAAGGCATCCTCTGCCCTATCAGCTTGATTATAACCCACCATCATCGTTGTCCAACCTACGGCATTTTTTTCACGCATCAAATTAAAAACACGCTCAGCAGCTTCCAAACGCCCGCATTTCACGTACATATTACATATGGTGGTGTCCATAGACACGTTTTCAGTAAATCCAGCCTTAATCACCTGACAATGCATCTGTTTCCCGAGCTCCAAATACGAAAAATCAGAAAGAGACTTCAAAAGACTGATATAAATTGAAGGGTTAGCCTTAACATCTAAATCCCGCATTTCCAAGTACAAATCCAGAGCATTCTCTAACAGTCCCTCGTCTGCATAAGCAGATATAGTTATCACCCATGAATCCAAAGTTCTTTCACGTATTTCATCAAACAGTTTCCGAGCATCCGAAAGATTTCCACACTCACAATACATTTGCAGAACATGATTTTCAAGGAACGCAGGTGGGTATTTTTCTAATCTTTTTATCCGATCATGAACTGACTTTCCATAACGCAAGCTCCTTAAACTTGCACAAGTTTCAAGCAATTGCTTGTATGATTGAGGCGTAACCGGAATATTAGACCGGTCCATTTCTTGAAGGAACTCATCGGCTTCTTTGAGTTTTCCTTGTTTGGAAAGGGAAATTAAGTGGACATTTTCAAGATTCCCTTGCTGAATTTCGGGGTTTTTGAGTTGAAAATCATTGGATTTGCGGCTGAGAGATATCCATGAAGGAATTTGAGCGTAATTTGCTGTTTTTATAATCGATAATTTGTCGGGAAGAATCGATGCTTGTGGGAATACTGCATTGAGTGATTGGAGAATTGCCATGTTTCAGTGCATTTGGTCTTTGGAAAGGTTTGATCAAAGAACCCTAATAATAATAAATTATGGCAACGGACCAAACGAAACTCAAAAATAACCAAAAAAGGGGTAAATAAGACACCGATAAATCGTTTAACAATTTACTAGCATTTGAATAGATTCTTCTTCTTTCTGCAGTAAAAATGGTGGAAAGATTTTTCTTCACAGGCCAAAACATTCAGCTACCGACACAACCCGACAAGGTCATCTTCTTTCGGAGCCGCCTTCCTCGTAATAACATAAAAAAAATTGTTCCTGTTTTCAGGTTTTACACAGTGACATCTCAATATTTAAGTAATTTTCTACTGTGGCAAAACCTCATTGCTATTCCAATTTGCATTTAACTCGGTGCTGGAGAAAAATGGAACCATGGTAATAATCTGCAACCGGCGCAGACTAGAAACAAATCCCCTTTTTCTCTCTCTCAGTTACCCAAAACCCACTTATTTTCAACCCTTTTAATGATTTATAATGGAACTTTACATTCAGATGAAGTAAGAAAAATATTCAATCGTCATTCTGTTTAATTTGTTCTTGTAGTTTATACTTGACGCTGTTATGATCTTGTGCCAATATTTATGTCTACGTTCTTGAAGGTATGTGGATGATGATGAAGGGATCAAGAATTATTTTGCTGCATTTCATATGCACAATACATTTCCTGTTTCAGTTATTATCGATAATTTTGCAGATTTCTTCGACGCGAGGTAAGTTTTTCTCGTTCCAATTCAAATTTCGTTTGACGGTATGGCGTGGCTGTAATATATGTCATTCTTCACATGTTGTATGAATTGATACCAGAATTCAATTTAAGTCTTTGATAAAGTAAAAGTATTGAGTTTGAATTCTGGGAGATACAATAAAATTTTGTGATAGGTAAGATGAGCTCCAACTCTTCCAAAGCAAATACGAAGGCCAAGTCGTTACAGAAAATGCACGTTTATTACCTTTTTCATTGTAATTGTGGCTGCCCTTGCAAGCTTATGTTTTATCATCAATTTTTCGCTGTAATTGTGTTCTTCTCAATATCATGAAATTTATATTATTAGTGGTTCTATTTAAAGTTAATGATGGTTTATATCCTAAGTACCATGTTTATATCGATGGATTAACATTAACTTTGCTAAATCTTAGATGTCTTATTTGTTTATTTCTTAATTTATCATGGTTTGCTTGGGGAAAGGTAAGGTTTGTCAATGCTTGTATTCTCATATATGAATACATGCTTCATATATATATATATATATATATACACGCGCGTTGTTAAAAATTAGGATTGTTTTAATTTCTTAAATGTAACATGGGGTTTTGAGTTGTGTACTATATATCATCGCCTGTAAATGTCTTACCAAAGGTAAAAGTTAAAACATCTGCCCCTCCGGGCATATTCCAATGATGCAAAGGGTAAGGGTGAGGTATACTCAACTTTGCTGACAGTCGCAGTGTGAGAGTTCGATTCTTAAAACATAGATTGAGACTCTTTGTAGACACCAGTTTACAGGAAGCTCTTGTTCCCTAATCTGTTGGGGCACATCTCGCGATTAATCTCTTTCACAATGCTCTAAGGACGGAACAGTGAGAGACCCTTACGGTTGGGGTTCAACCTTTAAAACACCTTCTTTTTTTCCCATTAAAGATGGCCTTTTGGTTGGAAAAGACTACTTGTCCCTAGAGGTCAAATGGCGCCCCTGTTCGTCAAAGGTCCCATAGGCCCTGGACAACTAGGACCCCTCCTTTTGGTTGGAGAATGTGAAAGGTCATTCTTCACTTTCACCATTTAGAAAGGTATCTTTGAAGATATTCCTTGTGAGAAAAGCTGATGCAAGTTATAATATACAATCCTGCTATATGTCAAAAATATTTTGACAGTTTTTTTTTTTTTTTTGACTGATTGTCACAAGATTTCATTGAATGTTGAACAAAAAACACAATTAAACCAGTCAATACAACATCGTCACATGTACGTATATAATATTTTATATACATTTCATCTGTACAATGAGTTGAATTCTATCAAGTATATCTTCTGTATTATGTAGGCAGTCGTAGATCCCTGCCTAGGCAAATGTTGTATTTGGTGGGGTGGGGGGGAACGATTGAATTAATAAGCGAAAACATGGTGGATTTTGTAGTGTGACAGGAACTTGACAATCGTCCATTAATATCAAAGAAGAACTGGGTTCTGATATTGTAGATCAAGAATGAACCTGGATTGGAAATGCACGGTCCTGATTCAAGTAAGAATCAGCCGACGTTTGAACTGCGCATGAGTCTGTCCTGTTTGAAAGAGCGTGCTAAAATTGGTCTTGGACAGGATGACTTTTCATGCTCCCATAAAGCGCAGCATCACCACTCACTTTTATTTATACATCTCACATGTTTTCATAACGACAAACTTAATTAAACATTTGCAACTCATTAAGGAACCAAAGGGGTCACCAACCCATTTCTAGCTGTAATAACTGTTCTCATTTTTCTCCGATCTGTGCTTCAAATTCGATGCTAGTAAATATAAGTAGAAGTGCTGCTTGTACAGACCATTTTAACAAATGGGGTTACAGAATGTTGATTTGGCAAAATTTCACACTATCTACGTAAAAAAATAATATTAACCCAGTTAATGGAATCTTGTCAGCTCAGCACTTATAATCCCACTTGTTAAAAAAATTTGTACAAATAGCATTTTTCAATATGAAACCCTGCTACGTGCACCAGGATAATTGTCATACTGAATTACAGAGGGACAAGTAACGTATATTCATTAGACTTTGTCAGCTCAGCACTTGCAATCCCACTTGTTAAAAAAATTTGTACAAATAGCATTTTTCAATATGAAACCCTGCTACGTGCACCAGGATAATTGTCATACTGAATTACAGAGGGACAAGTAACGTATATTCATTAGACTTTGTCAGCTCAGCACTTGCAATCCCACTTGTTAAAAAAATTTGTACAAATAGCATTTCTCAATATAAAACCCTGCTACATGCACTACGAGAATTGCCAGACTTTATTGCATTACATGGGGACAAATGACGTATATTCATTGGATCTTGGACGACAAACAATTTTATTCCAGTCGATACATGTGCATCACGTCTCCCTGGTGTTCTCCAAGGCAATATTCCCTGTACAAGGGGCATAACTCTCAACATAATACTCCCTTCGTCACATTTATACAAACTGACTTTATTTATTTTCTTGTCTCAATTATATAATATTATTTCTCCATTAAGAATGTTTTGTTTTGTTTGTTTACTAATATACCCTTATTTCTTATCCCAATTATACGACTTTCCTTAACCGTTTGCTGAGAAGATGCCAAACGGTGTGTTTTACTTTTTACCTGAAGATGAAGAAGAAATTAAGACCGAAGGCACCTTGGAATAATGGGGTTCTGCACTATTTTAACTTCAAATTTGAACTGCACTTTCACAAGCATTAGTTTATAAGCTTTCTAGAAAGAAATGCATTAGAAGAAAAAACGATTGTCTCCCCTTCTCCCACGAGGAAGATTACCACTACCAGTGAGTTATTTTTGGCACACAGAACAAGATCTACTTGACATTAACATTCGCGTTTCGAGATAAAAGACGTCTACAAAGATAATGTAAAACTAAAACCCGCACCATCATTAGGTTAAAGAACATTCTTGTGTATGATTCTAAAACTTGCTCATAACTGGAAAATCAAGAAACTAAAAATTGACAAATGAAATCCGCCAATAACACCACTCAAAGTGAAAGTACCATCAGTTTATCATATATTTTGCATGATCCAACTCCATCCAAATTGATGACACAAACATCTCCCTAGCAATGGAGTTGCCTCCAAAATACATTTGATTTCGATAACTTGGAAAGTGAGGAACCAAAATTCTTCATTCAGAAACTGTTCAGTTGAGTGAGCATAGACACGAGTTCGTCACTCGAAGGGCGATCAGCAGGCGAGTCAGATAGGCATACAACAGCAATTTTAACAGCCATTAACATCTCATCTTCTTCAATTTCTTCCCTGAGGATACTTTTATCTAGTGCTTCGGAAGCCTCCCCTGCTTGCTGCAGACGACTAAGCCATAGTCCCAAACTTCCTCCACTAGTTGCTTCCGCCAAAAAAGGATCTAATGGGTCTTTACCAGTTAATAGAACACCCAAGATTGCACCAAAGCTAAACACATCGCTCTTATCCGTATACCTAGTGTAAATTATTAGAAAGACGAGTAAATATCTACTTTCACAAATAAATCAAACCAAAGAATGCAGTGAAAATGTATACACCATACAACAAAGGATTCAAACAGGGTATAAGGTTCAATCCATAATCATTTACAACTCCTAGATTAGGATATAGGATAATGGAGAGTTAATTGTTCTAATGATCACTGAACTTAGGTCCATATCTTTGATTGGTCACTGATAATTAAAATGTCGAGCTTTGGTCAATGAACTTAAGTTTATGTCTTCGATTGCTCAGTGAAGTTAAAATGTCGAATTTTAACCATTTAACTTTAAAATATATTGTAAATTACTCACTGTAAACTCAACATTTTCTAAAGTTCACCATTTATGTTAATGAGTAACGTACAACATTTTCTAAAGTTCAGTGGCCAAAACTCAATATTTTAAAATTCAGTGAGCAATCGAAGACATGGATCTAAATTTAGTGAATAAAACTCGACATTTTAAAGTTCAGTGACCAATCAAAGACATGAGCTTAAGTTCAATGACCATTGGAACAATTAATTCGATAACGGAATGTAACTAGAGTTCTTTGATGAATGAGTTTAGCCCGGTGGTTTGCGGTTTGCCGGGTAGAATGCCAGAATGCTAGGTGGCAGCGCTACATTGGGTGTTGGACAAAAAGACAGATTTAAGCAGAAAAACGCAGTGCCCTGGCAAACTCCGGTGTACATGTAGCATGATTTTTAATGAATTAATTGATTTGACTAATCATTTCTTCTCCAACGTGTGATTATAAAAGCCTCATCTTCAAGAATCAAGATGAAATAAATTTTATCTATTCAATCTTATCCCTAATGCTTAAAGCACTTTTAAATTCCAATAGAATTTTAAGTGTTCTCAACCAGAAAAGAAAAGGAAGAAAAAAAAAAGATTTTATATAACCATCCAGCTTTTTGAAAAAGCATGCTACCAAAAGATTCATCTGCATACATATACTTACAGGTTAAGATAATAATTGTTAAGCAAGTGCAGATAATGCAAACTAATGTAAAGCTATCAGAAAAAAGGAAAAGAAGGGGAATTAAGATTATCAATTTGACTTCAGTTTTAACTGAATCCTTTCATTAATTTATAAAGTATAGCCATTATATCTAATCAAGCTAGAATATTATGTAAAACGAATGCAGATTAACAAATTGTTCTAAATTTCACACTAATATATTAAAGTAGAACAAACCAATTGTACTAGTGATATCTAAATTTCAATACCTGTCATTCTGAATGTACTCTGGAGCACTGTAGCCTGAAGCTGCTTTACCAACATTAGGAATAATCATAGCCAAGCCAAAATCTGCTAACCTTGGTTCAAATTGTGAGTCCAACATCACATTTGAGGGCTTCAAGTTGTAATGCAATCTTCTTGGATCACAAGTGAAATGAAGATACTGCAGCCCCTTAACTATGCCAACTGCGATTCGACGACATAATTCCCAATTAAGTTGCAACTGATTTTCCCTCACTCTTCTCATTGCATCTTCCAGACTACCAGTAGGGGCATAATCATATATCAGAGAATACCTATCAGATTCGCGAATATAAGCCCTCAAACTCATCAAATTCCTATGCCTTAAGCTAGCAAGAATTTCGAGATCCTGCTGTATCCTTCTCTTGACTGACTTGCTCTGAGCTTCATCAGAAACATTCTCAAAGGGCTCGAGCTGCTTGACCGCAACAGTTAGGCCATTGTCCAGTACAGTCTTGTAATACTTCCCATTGGGACTCGATCCCAGCAACTGGGGTTCATCTGCAAGAGCTGATTTTAGAGTCTTGGGAGGAATTTTGGGAGAAAACACAACAGGGCCCTTAAGGATTGGGCTCCTGTTAATGTATCTGATAAAGAACCTTATTAGAAGAGCAACGAGTAACGCAAAAATCAATCCTGCTATGATTCCTAGCAAAATACTGAGAGAAATTCTCCGAAGGCTATTCTTGAATTCTGGTGGCTCAGATTGTGATGGAGGGTCGCTGTCGCTTGAGTTATTGTTGCTTAACTTTTCTAAGCATTGCACAGAGATAATGTTGAAGCAGAAAATAAATATTAAGTCTAGCTTTACGGCTTTACTGCTACTGGTATTGTAAAAGCGCCTCTTCTTCTCCATAGAAAGCAGAATCCTTATGTCAAATTAAAAAGCATAACCTCAAAATACTCCAAATTTTGAAGAGTCAATTTCCTGAGCTGAAAAGGGTCGGGAATATTGAACTAAATCATTTATGAAGGTCAAAGCAAAAATAAAAATAAAAAATTATTTCTTGGGTTCTTGTCTTACTGAACAGCAGCAAAAATGAAGCAGAAACTTGAGAGGAAGCCCCATCTTCCCAGGAAAATTTTTAAAAAAAAAAAAAAAAAAAAAAAAAACACGTTCTGGACTAGAGTTTCTATGTATATCAGAGAGAACCTTTAAGCTCTAAACAAGCCAAGACTCCAACTTAGTTCCTGAAATTCCACAACTTGCAAAACTTGGAGTTGAAAGATTGTGTGAGAATCAGAATCATTTAATGGCTTCAAGAGGAAGAGAAATGGAATCATTACATCACATTCTAACCTTTCCACAAGAATTTCAAGTCAAATCTTCACCACTTTATCTCCTATTTCTAATTCCCCCCTTTGAATTGAAACTATAGAAAAATACCCAAATAAAAAAGAAGGAAAACTGTAGAATCCAAAGTGAAATGAAAAATACAAACCAACCAAGGAACGACAGTAGCCCTCGTTAAATGGGTGTTTCTCCTAATGTGAATGCAATGCAAGTACTTGCACTGGTGAACACACTGCTTTAGCCTCTTTAGATGAAAAGGAAAGAAAAACAAACGAGCAAATTGTTTAGGAGCCTTTTTGGAAATGGAATTTAGACCTTTTTTACTTCCCATACTTTTTTCGTTAAAATGAAAAATATGACATTTATCCATCACATTAAATCACCAAAATTTAAATTTCTATCTTTTATGTAAGATCCATAACTACTATATTTTTCATTCTCATTTTAATAAATATGAAAAATAAACGATTAATTTTAGAATAATTTGTCTTTATACTGAGGTTCATTCTCTATAGGTGTTTTACTTCCTGAGCATTGTATTATTATTCAACTGAATTGGTCAAAAGATGAGACTTAATATGAAGAAATGTATATAAAGGCACCATCTTTTCTTTACAACACACCACACCACACCACTTCAAGAAATGTTGTCAACGTTTTTTCCCCTATTTACTTTTCTCTAGAACGAAATTCTTTAATTTATATACTCATTTTTAATTACATATTTATACAATAAAAATATTTTACACATAAATTCAGAACTTTTTTATATTTTTTAGTTTCACATTTTTTAAAAAATACTAGTCAAAATATTATTTTTTTAATAATGGCCATAAAATGGGGACTCAACCACTATTTGACAACCATTATTTTACAAAAAACAAAGTTTTGAATAGTAAATTTTTGAAAGATGAGCGGATAAAAAATAGGAAAAATTTTAGAAACATGTGAAATATTTTATTGTGTAAATAAATTATTGGAAATGAGTATGTAAAACAACTAATTTTAAATTAATAATTATCAAACAGGGCAAAACTTCAATCAAGTGTAGATTGTAGAGTGATATAAATTTAGAAGAGAAGTGAGAGGGTTCTCGCGCCTAAGCGAAGAAGTGGGGTCCAACGACAAATTGATATGTTAATGCTACACTGTAGGGAATCTGGACCGTCAATGTAGAATGAGTTTGATCATTGATGTGCTGTGATTTGATTTGAATCATTTGATTATAGAGAACAAAGATAGATAATGGCTTTGGCCTTGCTTTTTGTTTTGGGGACTGTAAAGCAAAATTTATTTACCAAATTTCTGGCTTTTGTGTTGGCAAATAATGAAAGGATTTTGCTGGTTTGTCCGAATTTTTTTGTCAAAATGGTTAACATCTTCTCACATGCATGTAAATCCCGCGAGAATAAAAAGATCCCCCAAATAAAAAGTGGGCCCAACCATTTTGAGAGTCGATCATTCCTATATCAACCATTTTCGATCACTGTAGCAGGATTGTGAAAGAAATGTGTGGCTCACTTTTGTTTACAGCACAGCTAATTGGGCTGAATCATTTAGGACCACATTGATTGGGCTAGATGTATGTATTACTAGGCTTTGCTTATTTCTTGAGCTCATTTTGAATCATATATTTCATTTTTTTTTTTTTTATCGAAATTTATTAAAAATCTGATTTTTAGTTAAATAAAATATACGCAACAACAAATTGTACCCTCCTGAGAACAAAAATTAAGTCAAATCTACATTAATTAATTAATTGATTATATTACAACAAAACCTTGTAACAACTCACCATACTATTTAGCAAACTAGATAAACAGACTGCTTAACCAAATTTCATATCCCAAATTTAATAAACCTTAAACTAGTACCACATGTAATTACAGTAAACTGCACCCAAACAGAGAGGCCAACGATATCATTCTCCGTTATCTTGCGTCCATTACCCGTTCGATAATAAAGCCAGGATCTCACTGTCGTCATAATTTGTTTCCATCGCAAGCTGGAACGGGGTTTTACCTTGCTCGTTTATAGCTCGTGTATCAGCTCCCCTGAGCAAATACAGAATGACAACTAGCTTGTCAGTTAAAAACAGAAAATCAACTATATAAACTAACAAATTAAAGAAAAAGTTGTTCTCATTTTTTCCCTTTTTCTACTACAGGCTCTTGGAATAAATGTGCAAATTCATGGCAATTTCAATTTTTGGCAGCCAACTAGAGTATTGGTGTTTGGTGGTGATTTCAGGTTGGGGAAAGGGAACTGGTGTTGAAGGTTTCTAACGAGTGTTTACCTTGTAAGAAGCAGCTTGGCAAATGTAGTTTTGCCTCTGACAATACAAGAATGAAGAGGTGTGTGACCCCTGGAATCTGAAGCATTTATGTCTGCACCGTATTGCAGAAGAAGCTCTATCATTCCAATATCTGCAGTTTCACATGCGAGGTGAAGCAACGAGCATCCATGAAGACCTTCCGATACACTGTCTTCACCAGTACTTGTAGAGCTAGACGACGGCTCCAGAAAACCAGAATACTGATCAAAGGAGGTTTGTTCTTGATACAGAGCTAATCTGGCAAGGGTAAGAGTAGTGTTACAAGTTCCTTGACCATATTTAGTATTTACATCTGCATCGGAGTTAACTATGAGTCTATACGCAGCCTTCTTATCATTAGCACGTACAGCATCCCACATCTGTTGTGCCACTGAACGATTTTCCTTGGATTTCCGCATGAAAATTTTTTCTGCATACTGCAGTAAAGAAAAGAAGTTGTGCATGCTGTATCAGGAAAATAAATTTGAATAATCACCCACTAGAAGGTATCACAGATCACATTTGCCTGAGTTATTTATTACATGGCCTTTTTGACAGACAAGCGGTTGTCTAAATAGATTCTTCAAGTTCATTTCCCCAATTGAAAACTCATTCAAAGGGTGATTCTTTCTTCTTCTTTTTTTATTTTATAACCACTTAATTCTTCTTCAAATATGTGATACAAACAGGAAACTGATGTATGCAAAGATTAGAAATGTAAACCCATTTTAACATCAAATGACACGTGCTGACCAGGAGTGTAGTGAATATTACAATTTAAAGCACAACAGTACTTTTTCTACTCAAAAGTTCCTGGAAACACTCAACGAAAAAGAGAAAAAGGATAAGAATCCAAGAGAGCGAAGAGAGCAGTACCTTTGCATGAATAAATTTTTCCTTTGTTGAAATTGAATCAATAGCACTGGGCTTGCTGAAATAAACTATTTGCTGTTTATTAGGCCTGTACAAGCTTCAGTATGTAAATTTAAATCAGTAATCTATTGGCAAAACGAAATTCAAACTATGAAAAAAAATTGTTAAATACAAAATGAGACTTGTGTTTGATATTAAGAGCTATTTACCCTGTAGAGCCAAGATCAACCTGGAAGACACCCTTCGACTGCAACAATTCCTCCCAGACTGAATTTGAAAAGGTGTTGCCCAGAGACTGAAACAGATTTATGACAGCTGGTTCCCAAACTTTAACATCAAGAGTCAGTGACCTCACCTGCAGGGAGGAATAAGAAACTAATTAAGTCCCTCTTTGTTTCTTATTCTTTCCTCATTAAAATGAAAAATATGACCGTTATCTATCATATCAAGTCATCAAATTTGAATTTCTATTTCTTGTGTGGGGCCCATAATCACTATATTTTTTATTCTCACTTTTACAAAAATGGGAAACAAACGCCCCCTAATACTTACTTTTAATATACAGGAGCAAAATTAGAACTGTTATATGAATAGCAGATTAAAAAGAAATGTTTCAAGTAATCACAATTGGCTTCCAAATGAAATTATGAAAAATCTACATATCTCTCCCACTCTAAAACCTACTAAAATAAATTATACAAAAGTGAAAATCTGTGATAGCCAAATAGCTGGGACGTATAGAATGTTCTGATGCCAAAAAACCACATTTGCAGATTTAGTTACTTAAGGATATTTCTTTAATTCATTAATCGAATGGGGATTTCTTCATTTAAATCAAAACTCTTCAACCAATGTGGGTGCATACAGGTGCACTTTCAGGCAATTTCTTCATGTCTAGTATACACAGGACACTGGTGTCAGATGACAAGACCATATTATATATATGTACCTTAGATATATGTACACCAAGATTGCGGTGAACACCAGAGCATTCAATGCAGACAAGAACACCTAGATTCAAGGATGCCCAATCTGGTTCAGGAGCACCACAATCAGCACACTTGTTGTTACCACATACTTTCTGCAATATGTCAATTGGCTTTTCACTTTTCAGAACAGATCTTTGGTGTTGTGAGCTTCTCAAAGAACGATCTATATGCGCAGAAGCAAGCCTCTCAGGTGGGTACTCTTCAACTGCTCCATGATCAAAATCAGAGCTTTCCAATGAACTACTTTCACTGGTTGATCTATGATGACCGCTACCCATTGGACTACCAGACAAACACTGAAAAACAACAAAATTCCAATCAATAGAGCATTTGGAAATCAACTTTTAAGTAAAAGATTATTCTCAGAGAAATTACCCTTTCAGGAGTCTGAGAACTTAGTAATGACGCAATTACCCCAGTAATCTTCTCGATCCAATCCATTTGATCCAAGGCACTCTCCGCCTGCACTGACAGGCAAAAGGTATAATTTTTTACCCATGCAAACTATCAGCCATCAACATTTGGAAAAACCACTTAGTTAAAAGTTAGTTCATTTGGAAGTCGCGAAACATACCAAAATTTGAGGATAGAGTACAAAAGCAGATAGTGCACCTGTAAGGTGTAGTTTTTTGTTGGTGATATAATCCGGAAGCAGAACCTAAGATCTGACTGGTCAGCATTAACTTTAATTGTTGACGTCAACAAGTTCACGGTGTGATGAGCAACAGATTTTTCATCATGTACGCCACCATGATAATGAGAAGACAGCCAACGACTAAGCAACCCAGAACCAAGTTCAGAACTATTTCTTTGACTAGAAAGTTGACTGCCAGACCCCTACAGTGCATAAAAGTAATGATCTTTGGAATGGGGTACAAGCAAAATATAAAAACAGGTTTCAATCAGTTTACATTTCAAGATATACTTCAATTATATACTCACTGATGGTTTGCTGCTTTGTTTGCGATAATAATACAACATTCCTCTGCTATCAAGAACAAAGAACCTTCTTTTCCAGTCACCTCTCAAGTTCGAGGAACGTTTGGAAAGATAACCTTGTCTGATTGTTTGAACCTGAAAGAATTTCCAGGCTTTTTAATGAAGTGTGAAAAAAAAAGAAAAGGGAAAGCAAGAATTTATGACGTTAGAGATAAATAAAACAACAATGACAATCTCAGGTCAGCATAAATGTTAATGGTCTTTGAACCTTTCCTTTTGCAGCAGATTGCATGACAGCCTCTATCATCTTATGTGAACTTCTTCCAATAGCTTGTATTCCATCCCCATTAGGAGATCCATTAGAACCATTGGAAGACCATTTGCTTTCTCTATCAATCTGTCTTTTGTAACCTTGCATCCTCTCGTTGAGAGCTGCCTGCTCATAGTTTGATTGCTCTCTTGACTGCTTTGCATAAGTTGAGACCTATAACACATGTATGTCAAACATTCAAGCACTGTTGTCTTGTTAAGAAACTAGAGAAGGATTATCCTAAACTACAAAAAATTGGGAAAATCATATGCCCCAAGATCAAAATAAGCAAACCGGTTACCTAAATTATTCTAACCATACAAATAAGAAAATAGAAGATTCAACAACAGCGAATAATCCCCAAAACTGAACTGCAGTTGCAAGCAACAAGAAGTAAATGTACCTGGTTAATATATGGTTCCATCTGATGCAACAGCTCATAACCCTACAAGTAAACAACAATTAAAAAGCTTGAGAAACTGAAAGCAAGAAAAATAAAAATACACAGTTCAAGCATTTAAAGTAACCTGTTTGAAATAACGAAGATGAGCAGCCATAGTTTCACTAACTGCTTCCAAAAATTCAAACCTTTTTTTGGCTTCAACATTGGATAGAGCAGTTACCTGCTCGATTAACATCCAAATTAAAAAAATGAAAGAAGTGCTAGAAGGCTGCAGCATATTTAATGAAAGACATAAGGGCATGACATCACCCACCAGACTGAAGCGAGCTTGCTCAAAATTTGACCGAGCATGATGAAGCTCCTGAGAAGGTTCCAGACAATATGAGAATACATAGCATAGAGTACTACTTCATGTACACAAATGAATAAGCTTTGTAGCTTCAAGCTTCATATTTTACCTCCTCCAATACTGATTCTACATCACTCTTCGTTCCTTTCCTCAATGACAAAAATTTCTCACGAGCCTGCAACAATAGTGTATGTATTAGAGCTAAAATATAGAAGTGTTGCAGTTACGAACCTGTTACCAATCCAATATCTACAAGAGGATAGTAATACAGAAGAGGTGTCTGTTTCGGAAATTTCTTCTGCATTAGAATCAGAGGAGAACCAAGATGGTGATAGTATTACAGTATTTATAGTAGCTACTTTGGTTTTCAATCTACGTATCTACATAGATGTCAGTTATGAATACTGAAAATTATTTCCTCTGCATTTGACAACTAAGTGATATTATTTATAGAAATTCCAAAATAAAGCCACAATAAATTCAGCAAAACCAGATTTAAGGAATCATATACTGTACAGATCTTTGCATAGTTACAACAAATTATTAACATCATTATTGACGTGAATAAATCATATGTTTCCACTTCTAAGGTCCCATATTGCAGCCAATACTAATACTATCAAAGATCTGTTGTATTATTAGACAAATAGACCTAGTATTTTGCTAAGAACGCAAAATTTGAAATGTGAACATAAATATAAATTAATGCTTCATAACCTATTACCTTAAAAACAAATTCCTCAAGGACAAATGAAAGAACCATGAGAAAAAAAGGTAACAGAGAAAATGAGGAGCTGTAGTGAAAATCACCTGATCATAAAGAAGAGTAGCCTTGTCGAAGCGTTTCCTCGCTTCCTGCATAAGAAATTCAATATTGAAACTAATGAAAGATGATCTATCATGAATAGTGAAATCTCATAAATAAAAACAAAAATATTGAACAAATTTAGGGAGTAAACATAAAAAAATCATCAACAAGCCACAACTTAAATCATACAAATTTGAATAACAAGTTTAGTCTTCTCACAATAAACTTGAGGTCAGCTAAACAAATCTTTTCTAGTGCAATCTTGGGTTTCTCCTTTACTATAGACACTTCATCCATTCTTGACATATCTTTTTACACCTTCAAATCTCCTTATCTCATTTCATTAACCACAAAATATCTTATTCGCCAAGACACGTTCAGACGCTAATAGGAGGAAGTCCATTTGGTTCTGTTGTTTTTCTCGTCTAGGTTATCTTCATATACTCCATCAATTTCGAGCATCAAATCCATCTAGTATGGTTTTGTATCTTCACAATAGGCTAAAAGGTTCCCAAGATCCAAGGCGCATCTTACATTTAATAATTTTAGAAACTAATCCCTTCATCATTTTGTGGCTTATCTCCACAATTAAATAGAGTATATAAGAACTGTAAGTAGACAGAAACAAAGTCTTCCTGCCAGCAAATTGAGAGGCACTTGAAAACAATGAATACAGAACATGTACATCATAAAAATAAGAAATTTTGTTCTTTCCATCTTATTTTCATGTCAAATCTTCAAGTTATCCTGCTTCTTCTTCTTCTTCCCACTTCAAAACCTTGGCAAGAGAATAATGTTTGCATTTTGTTTTTTGATATATATTTCCAGCCCCTTTTTGAAGTCCATGACATGAGGTATACATTGGTAAGGGTTTTGTGTCTTGACTTTCATGCCAAAATGCCCTTAAGTCGTGCAATTAAAGTCACAAATGGATTCCATCATCACAGGCTTTGCGCACATGAGCCCATTATGACAAACAGAGAGAACTTACAAATTTACAGTACCTTTACATCATGCAAATCTAAGTTGACAAACTGCAGCAATCGATCATTCAGCATGTGCTCAACCTGAACAGACAAAGAGCAGACAATCATATATGCAGGCATGCATCACAACTTAGAATCCAGCGTGCATGTCTTCACCTTTCTTCTACTTATTTATAACACTTATTCAAAAGAAACATTGCCCTTGGGAAAAGAGATTGCTTCAAAACCCAAGATGGGGTACGGAGGCATGCAAAATTTATGCTGGCAACCAAAAGTACTTGAAAAAAAAAAAATGTTTTCAAAATTCTTATACATCATGTGAATGTTAGCGAGAGAATAAAACATAAAAAGGAAACAAGAAGATATGTTACTGAATAGAAGTCTAAAATTTTGATAGGCTACTAAAATGACGGCAGGTCAGCAAATCATCAATTTTGCAACCTTTTAATGATACGGGAAAATCCACAAAGTTGGATACATCCATGTCAAGAATAAACACGATGAATAATCAAATAAGCAAATTGTGAAGCAAACAATGATGAACTCAAAATATAATAAACCTGAGAGACCCGCGTTAGTTATTTAAGATATGAACTACAGTCCTCAATATATAAGTTGCAAACACGAAGAGACCTCTCTCAAGTTTATAGATACACGGAGAAAAATAAAATATAGGATAACATGACAAACAAAATGTTCACCTGAGATCGAAGGACTTCTTTATACGTTCCAATTTCCCTGAGTGCAATTGTAAATTTTGTCATGACAGGACCTACAAGTAAAGCATATTTTCCCTCGATGACATCACTTATAATCCAAACAAAAATGGGAGCTCATGCACCTATATAAAACTAATCTAGCAAGTAGTAATTTATCGTCAACAACACTGTCTTTAAGTCTTTAAACATTCACCTATCCAACAGTAGTAGTTCTAGTTTCCATGGATAATTACAAACAATTACTAACAGAAATGGTATTACCTACAATGGTGCCACATGACCAACTCCCCCCCCCCCCCCCCCCCCCCCAACACACAAATAAATAAATAAATAAAAAGACAAAGATTTGGCAAACAAAAGCCATGCACTCAGGTATAGCAATGATCCAAGGATTGATGCTGAGATGTTACTGCTAAGCTGGTGGTGGTTTAACTTGATGGAGGGGAAGGGTTTCTAGTGTGGTGGTATTGATGCTATGACCTTGATGGTTAGCAGAGGATAGAAGTCAAGATTGTGATGGGTAATGTTCGTGGGAAGAGAGGGACGTATATAGTCTTAAGACTTTGGCTGGGGTTTAACTGCACTAATTGGTAACAATAGCTGTAATTTTTCCGATACAAGTGGAGTTCTATTTTGAATTAATAAATCTTTATCCTCTAGAAATGTTTTTTACTTCATTTATCTTAACGTTAAATCATTAATGGGACATTCATAAGTACCACAAGTGCTAAAACAGTTGAGGAGAATCTACCAATCAAAAAATTAAGTGAACAAGAACTGGAAAGGAAACAGATCATAATCAATTAGCTCAGATTGAAGTTCTGAACATGTAACCTTCTGGTACAATAAATTTGACCATAGCTTTTAATTTAGAAGTCTATTGTAATTAATTACATGATTAGGGGTACCAATGAATTTCAGAAATAAGAAGAATTAACCTATGTAAGGTTTCAGTTTGATTCCACAATCATTCCATTAAGCCAAACATTATTTGCAAGAATATCACAACTAATATTATATATCATGCAACTTGAAACGGGTAACACAAGATAGGTGACCCAATGGACTAATATGGAAGGATGTTAAATGTAGTGATGTTATATCTGCATTGTCACTCAATAGAAGTAAATAATAAAGAATAATAATAGGAGAAACTGATTTTCATGGATAAATGTCACAAGAATTAGTTGAGACGTGCATATAGAAAGTCAATTTTCCAACATATTCTTGTACCTCCAAAAGCTACACTAATGGGATCGTTATGCCCTCCACCAAAACTTTCCAGAGAACTAGCAAAAGCTATGTCTCCATCATATCCCTCGCCAAGCCCTTCACTGCAAGTGGAATAAACAAGATTGTGGAGAATCAATGACAATCAGAAACCATAGAGAAGAAAAAGGAAGGCAAGAATAATGAAGAAGAGGTCCAAAATCAACAAACTTAGTCTAGCATTCCAGTCACCAGATAACAGATTAATGATTCCGAACACCAGATCCAATCAGTGAATTGGAGCATCTTTTTTCCCGAAATTTTTAAACAGTGGCACATAATATTTACAAAGAAGGAATTACAAGCTCAAAAGGCTTTGCAAACAAAACTTCACACATTCTCATTTTTTTTTTTTCAAGTAATTTTATGATCCAGTGTAAAACATTAACATACCAAGGCAATATTAAATTATTTTAACACCAAGGTATGATAGGAGTATGGTTAACTATTAGCACGAATCAGATAAAGAAAATTAACTAGATCGTCTAAAATATAAGTCACCATTTCAAATATGACAACATCCACACTTGCTAAATCAAAGATGAGATGATATTGGCTATATGAAAGGAGAGTGGACATAAGAATTGCCAAAGATGAGTTTCAAAAAGAGAAAGCTGAAATATTAAAAAATTGTCCTCACGTGTATTTTCGACATCCTTTGTAGAACTTCAGACATCTCTCCCTCAAGAATTCAGAGCTTTCCTCGAAGTTTTGTATCTGTTAGAAAACGAAATCATAAATATATGGAAACCACTACAAAAATTAAAAATAGATAATCAGAACCGACGAGCTAGTAAAAGAAAAGCAAATGCCTGCCACATTAGATATTAGAAATTTAAAAGAAATAAATTTTAAATGGAATTTGTGTAGAGAGCCTGGCTAAGACTACTTCATAGATTGCCAACAGAATGAACTTGGATTCTCTAAAACAACACATCAGCTGTTAAAAGATTACAAAATTTTCGGTAATTCGTATAAGTTTTAGTTGTTCACTAGATGCTGCACAAATTTTTGCTAACATGTTGATAAGTGAACAAAAATTCACAACTTGACTCCCCCTTTATACAAATTAATTGAACATGCATCCATCCCAATAAAGCTATCAAGGTTAGTAATGGTCTGTGAAGTACAAAATTAATGACAAGACCTTGGCAGAGAGAATGGAATCCGGGAAAAGGCAGAATAATTTATGATTGCAAAGTTAGGCCTGCTTGCTACATTTGAGAATCTCAAACTAGAAAACTTTTAGCCTAGGCAGTAGAGACTTAATATCAATACTTAAGAGCCACTATTTCTTCCCACTTCCAGAAATATCAGCACAGTTCAAGAATTCGTGCAGAGACTTCCCATAAAAACATATTATTATCAATAGCAGAGGACGAAAATTTTAAACATTAATAGTGCCTACTCCTTCATATATTCGCTAAGTGAACAATTAAAATCAAACAGTTTCTGACAATTTCCAATAATACAGTCCTAAAAATTACTAAAAATCAACAGGTTCCACGAAAAAGAACCTCCAATACAGTTTTGTGCAGCTAAAAGAGAAACTGATAGCTTAAAACACCAATCCAGCTGAAAAACGTAAATTTAAATTATCGCACTTCTAATGAATTGCTGGGAGAAAAAAATGAAGAAGAAAATAACCGACCTGTTTACGGAACATTGGAGAATCATCGAGCTTATCAAAATGCATGGTCGTAAAACTAATTCTTCTTTGGATTGACAACTCTTGATTAACATCAAACGTCTACTGATAGATAAAGATCCGATCTTTTGCTAAGTTAATTAAATCAAACTTTAAACTGTTTAACATAAAGGAAAAACCTCCAACTTTTTGCTCCGATCTCAAATTTTATCTGAACCCGGAAAAAGAAAACAAGAAACAGCAACACTTGCTCCAAATCCGAGATTAAATAACATTAAAAGAAAATCTGGCAAACAGGTTTGTGAAAAATATAATGTGGGTATGATATTTTATAATTTGGAGTGTTTTTTGTCGGGAGGGGTAAAAAGAATGTGTTTTTGCAAAACCCTAGAACATAGAAGCATACAGTGAAAAAGAAGAGAAAAACCCAAACCCAAATCCAAGAAGAAGAGTGAGTGTAAGATTAGATTAGGAAATTGTCTGTGTGTAAATGGAAAGTCTTGGGAATTGATGAATGTTTTTTGTTTGAAGATTGAAGGCTAATGTATTTTTTGGCTTTTCGAAGTGATTGATGATTGCTTTTTATTTTCATATGTAAACTTCCAAAGTATTTATCAGTGCTAAATTTTTACCAAATAAATGTTGAAGCCATCATCTACTTTTAAGCAAATAAAAAAAAATCTAAAAAATTAATGGATCGACAGACAGACAGACAGACATTGATAAAAGAGATGGATCCATATTCCATAATCAATTCCAGGATGTCATTTCATTTTTATTTTTATTTTTATTTTTTTCAATTTTTTTATTTATGTTCTCTTTTGATGTTTTTTCAAAGGGAAAAAAAATAATAATAATGGAATGATATTTTGGAAGGTATTTGTATATAATTGAAAGGTCAGCTTTTTTTGTATTGTTATGATTGTAAGTTTGCGGTTAGAGTTAGATATGTCAAATTTAAGGTTTGGGTATGTAAGAAGGAGACATGTCTATAATTTTGATAGTTTTCAAGGGTCCCTAACAACATTGTTCCTTCAACCAATCAACTCATTTTCCTCAATATAAAATAATTGTCAAGGTTATTCTCTTGTGACTTTTGATCTTGATTATCTAAATGTGATATTTTTATGACATTTGAGTTGTAAAAATAAGTTATATATATATCGCTTTCATTAAATGAAATCACATAAGAAGATGAATTTGTCAATAAAAAGAAAATAATATTCAAATTCCTAAGAAAAACTCGAAGTTACTGCAGTTTTTGTGTATTTATCGATCCAAAGTGTGAATTTCTTTATTGTTGAAGAAATACCATTTGGCAAATGATCTGTTGATTATAATATTTGTTTTTCAAATTGGAAAGTCTTGCAAAAATAGAATAAAAGTAATAAATCTTCTTATTTACAAATATTCCAAAATTAACACTCATACAACATAAATTATAGATCTGGTTAGTAAAAGATAGAATCCACAATGCCAAGTTTGCATTGTCCCCAAAACATAAAAATTTAATTTTTATTTGATACAAATTTTTTTAAATTTATTTATTTTTCAAGGACCCATAATTTTTTTCTATTCTCGAAAAAATCACTTTTTACAGAATTTATTGTCAAAAATCTACATCAAACATGTCCGAAGTATGGCTTACCTAGCATTGTTTGCTTACTTTTTGATCACTTGCCATTTCAATTCAAGTAAAATGGAAATTTCTAGATGAAATAATAAATCAAGATTAGTTGATCCACTTATCCCTGGGATTAATGCAACTTAGTACAGTTGAGTTGCTTGTGGAAGTGGGAATAACCTGTTTTTATTAGACAAAATGATGGGAATTAGGACTCTTCACAGCGAGGAAGATGCTTAAACGAATAACAAAACCTCAAAGTTAGTAGACACAAGAAAAGCCTCACTGGTTTAATAATATTAAATGAGACACAAAAGGGATGAAAAGGAGAAAGTGAAGAAAGAAAGAAGGGGAAAGTAGGAGAGGTGGGGACACTAAATGGGATGCTTTTTCACCTTTAATGCACACAAATTTGCAATTTACAGACAACCTTACACAATTTCATCACTCAAGTGGGTGCAGGCCTGGGCCTGGGCCTATGATCCCAAAGTCAATATATCCCATAAACACAAACAATGGAGGAACAACTCTTGAAAAAATAGGATATGAGAAACAACAATTGGAGTGCAAAGACTGTCAAGAGGTTTGTCCAAAAATAGACATTCTTGAAAGAGTGTGTAATATTTCCCTGATCCAGTGCTCTAGCGGGGAAGATGAACAGGACAAAGCGATATGTCGAAACTGTGGATTAAGTTAGTGATACTCATTTTATTTGGTATATCTAATCTTAATGTATTTAGGAAGTCAAAATCATGACATGAAACTGGTTAAAAACTTCAAATAGTAATTCAAATAGAGTTGGAGAATATTTTAGAAGATATGTTTGCTTACAAATCTAATCATATTAGAACGTGCCAAGAAGTACTTGGTGCTACAATCATTGGAGGAACAATACATAATCCATATGGACAGGAGATATACCTCACCAGTAGGCAAGATATATCCTGCCCTTCAATTCTGTATAAAAGAATTCAAGATATCTTTGGCCCATCACTTCACCGATGGGAACGACATCAGTCATATATAAAATAGTTCCAATACTTGTACCATATAACCTACATGATAAATGGAAACTACACTAATAAAATAATCATCATAAACCATTATTTGTATACCTAAAATTTTGTATAGCCCTCAAAGATCAAAAAAGAATAAAAAAAATGAAGAACCTTGAATGCAAGCTTAGAGATAACTACCAATTCCCTGAGATTTAATTCAAGGAGGTGAATGAAATATTTGTTATGCAAATCTAATCTGGAACCCTACAACTTATCAGCAATTCTGCAGGTCTGTTGTTTCCATCCTTCTATCAATTGCATCTCGCTTTCTTTTCCTTCTAATCTCAACTTTTGAGACATTTTATCTCTCACAATTCGTACCTGGAAACAACATCTTCAGTAGACAACCACGAAAATCTCATTTTTTCTTGAGGACATCAAATTGCAAGCAGCAATCTTTTCTTTCTATTGGATCTCTTTCTCTCTTCGTTTTGGAAGTATTTTTTTTGGGTGGGGGGGCACAGCAATATAATTTATGACTACCAACCTGAGCCTTGGAAACGATTTACAAGCAAATAACTATCACAGCAATATAATTTATGACTACCGACCTGAGCCTTGGAAACAAGTTACTGATAAATAACTATCACGGCAATATAATTTATGACTGAAGTAAAAAGTACAGTACCTTGACCATTAGAGACTTCACTAAATGGTTGATAGTCATCTACCATGGTTAAAAATAAAAACCCCAAGAATGAACAGGACCCAAATGCTTTAACCATGATTAATAGATGACACAAGTAAAAAAGATACCCGAATGGAAACAGACCCCCAAGAATGATCATGAACCTAATGCTTTAGCTAAAAATGAATATCACTGAAATTCAAAACAATGTGTATAGGGGACCATTATTGTGTACTTAAGAAGATGGTAAAAGACTTTCAAGAATGATCATGAACCGAATGCTTTAGCTAGAAATGAATATCATTGAAATTCAAAACGTGTACTGGGGACCATTATTGTGCACTCAAGAAGATCCATCCTAATATAGCAAAAATTACCAGATGCATATTTATAATTCCATTGCATATCAAGTGAAATGCTTTTAAATGTTTATGGACAGTTTAGGAAATGTGTAACCATTTTAAACATTTATGGCAAGAGCCAAAATTGAACTATTTTATAGTCTTATCGCTCAAGCACATCCATATGGGCACAGGAAAGTATGGCCAAATCAACATTCTTCAGAGAATTACTTTCATTTTCTGTAATTTCCAAATTTATTCAGCTGGAGAAAATATCTATGTTTACCCCCTTATATCGTTTGAATGAAAGGAACTCACACACATTTTGTGTACTTTGAATCACCATGAAGGAAACATTCTTCTCACAACATGTTTTCAGTTTCAAAAGTTTTTAAACATAGGACAAGAATCAACTAATTATGCAGAAAACAAATAGGAAAATACATTCTTTTTACCAGACCAGATGTAAATTAACAGTCCGTTAACCTGAAAAATAAAATTAACAGTCTCCTTACCTTGGGGGAACTCCCACCGAGACCGGACTCCTCCCAACCGGACTGTTCAAAATCAAAGAATAACCCATCACTAGGGGACAGGGGCGGAGCTAGAAAATTTTTTAGTGCAAGCACAAATTACTTTAAATCTAACACTGTGATATCTTTTTTCGCATTTGAGGAAGCTTTATAAACATCGAGCAATTCGCCATGCCATTAGAGAGTAAGGAATGTTTCAGGGTGTAACATTAACTTCCAATTTTTCTCCTGAAACCATGGAACCAGGGTGTAACATCAGCTTCCAATTTTTCTCCCAAAGTTGAGTGCACTCAACTATACATGGCTCCGCACTTGCTAGTGGAGGCACGTAGAAATGTCCGATTGCCCGAACATATTTTTACAATGGCCCTTGACCATTTAAGAAAAAAAAAAGGGGGGGTTAAAAGTTGAAATAGAAAGTTTATATACCATTACCAAAATTATCCTAATTTTCAACAAAGAAAGGATAAAAGAGAAAAAAGGAAAAGGAAAAGAAAAGAAACAGTCGAATCCGATCACAGTTGTCATCATCACAGTCTACCTAACGCCGACAACTACAAAACTTGATTATTATCAACAAAGTTAATTTTTATGGGTTTAAGAGAATGATTTTTCATTTAGCATGCTTTGTAAATTTGTGATTTAAATGTTGTTTACAGTGTTTATTCTTCATTATTTAGGCAGATTATTGGTTTTAGGATAAATTTAAGCAAAAAAACATCTTTTGTCATAAAAAATGACAATTTTCTCATCATTTTCGATGAGATACAATCAGCCCATTAAATTTTTTTAAAACAGTCGATCTAGATCTCAGCCTAGACCAACTGTTTGGACTAATTGTTGGCCCATTAATTTATTAATATTTTCTTAAAAACGGTTGGTTTGGGCTGATTGTTT